ACTCTATTTCTCTGCATATTATACATACATATATATATACATACATACATATATATATATATATATATATATATATATATATATATATATATAATTCCTCTTATCTGTTAGCCATATGTTGTCTCCTTTGCGTGACTAACAATCCGACCTGGTACACAGCATATGCACTATAAGTGATAATACTCTGAATCTATCTTCTCCCTTAATGATGGTCTGCCCATCCAATGTAAGGAGTACTCTGGAAGTCCTTGATTACCGGGGCATATCTGGAAGCGGGAAACATGTTCCAGTACAATTAAAATTGAAAACTCAAAGATTGTCTATAGATCTCGCTGCTCAATTTAGGTGGACAACAACAATATCCCTGGTCGTCGTCAGCTGAATGGTCCTTAAGATATAGTATCTAGAAACTTAGGATCAGATATAATATCTAGGAACTTAGGATCACATTGTCTTGTCACTTATAGTATGTCCTAATTTTGTCACAATTTTTCGTGTTTAAGTGGACAACAATACCGACGATCAACCAGATAAAGATGTGAATATGAAAGGTAACGACAAGTGGATTAAGGTTGTCTAAAAACTTTGATCCCAAATCATTCTCAAGCTGAAAGCGCTATCTTTCAAGAATCAGTACATCAAGCCTCCTCACCCAATGTGCGTTCAATGTCAAATTTTGAAGAAATACTCAACCGCTCAAGATGAATTCATTTATTGAAGATTCATATGTTCATCTTGATGTTGTGAAGAAATTTGAAGATTAAGCTGAAGCCAAATCTCTCATTGAATATTGACAAGAAAAGCCAGCTATTTTTTAGGGGGAGCTTGTTGGGTCATTTAGAAAAGAAAGCTATAAACAAGGGGGAGATTGTTGGGTCAAAAATATGGTTTATACTTTGCTTTTCTAGGAAAATATATTTTTATGTAATTTTGTATGTGTTTGCGGTTTGTATGTACGTGTACGGCCGCACACCCTGTGTGCGGCTGTACACATGTGTATGGCTGGAGGTCCATATAAATAGATGTAATGGGTAGAGGAGTGTACAGTTAGAAGAGAGCATCTTGTAGAGAGAGAAAGTTAGAGAGAAGAAGTGTGTGAGATAAAGAATCTATTGTAAGGAGCATCATTCATATTGAATACATCATTAGATTTATCTTCTTCTTCTTCTCCTTCTCTTCTATATTGATCTGACATCATCCAATTGATTGGGATTCCGCACCATCAATTGGATCTGATTGATGCACAAGCAATTTTGGGGACTTACATGCTAAATGTTGGATTGGACTAAATGGTTGGGCCTTTGATCAAGACCATGTAGAGACTTGGGCCATAGATGGGCCATAGTTGGGCCTTGGTTCATTATTAGACTTTTGGGCCTTTTATTGGGCCTTGTGCTTGAATGGGGCAAAACAATCTTTTACCCCAAGCATGGACTTATGGGTATATGTGTTGGGACCCGATTATTAATTGGGTGTTATTTTGATGATTGACAGATTCGGGAATCTATCATCCAACAGCTACGGTTTTGTCAGTAGGACTTCAGTAGTGAGAGGTGAGTTTTCCTCCAATAGGAACGGGTCTAAGGCACCAAGGCCGGCCCGTTTAAGTAGTAGATTATACCGGGGTGAGCCCGATGTTGGGGTTAGCCTGATGCAGTCTATATGTTTCTGGACTTCGGTCCGATGTCGGGGCGGTCCCGAGAAGTAGTTATGTATGCTTGATGTCTTTGTGATTCATGCATGTTTATGTGTTTTATGTTGTTGTTTCGGGCTTCGGTCCGATGTCGGGGAAAATCCAATGCAGATTATGTGATTATGTTATGTGCTTATGATATATGTTATGTTGAGTATGTGTCGGGGTAAGCCCGATGTCGGGGTGAGCCCGATGCCCGATGAGGTCGGATGCCAGGGTGAGCCCAATGCCAGGTAAGCCGATGTCGGACAGGAGTCCGATGTCGGGATTCGTTCCGATGTTGTTGGGAAGAGACCTAGAGTTATATGATTTGTTATATGTGCTTTGTATGTTATGTGGTAATTTGGGGGAGCTCACTAAGCTTCATGCTTACAGTTTCAGTTTTGGTTTCAGGTACTTCAGGTTTCAAAAAAGGAGCTCGGGAAGGTTGCAGTGCACACACCATTTCTTCAACCTGAGATGTTTTTACTCTGATATACATGACAATTGTTATAGTATTTTGATATACATTGTTTATGATTTCTCTATGACGTACGATGATTATGGTTTTTATTATTAAATTAAAACGAAATTTTTGGCTTGTATTTTAGGGATGTTTCACCTCTACTGCAAGAAATTCAACCGTATCCAAGGATTTTTAAAATGGAATCCTTGATGTAACGCCCCAAAAATTACTATGTAAAAATTTTGTTTTTAAAACCAATAGAAACATCATTCATTCATTTCGAAACCCCTCAATGTGTGATGATTTATAAAATAGTTCCTAGAGTACTAATCATGTCATAATATGCGGAATGGTGGTGGATGCAGTGCGATCATGACGGGCCCTTCCATTTCGAACTAAAACTACCTGAAACCATAAACATAAAACTATAAGCATAAAGCTTAGTGAGTTCCCTCAAAATACCCCATACAATACCTACATAACAATTCAAAACTAGAGTGGATCTATTTCACCCCTTTCAGTCTCTTTCAACCGTATTGGCACTATTTCACCCCCATTCAGTCTCTTTCAATCGATATTGGGTCTATTTTACCCCCTTCGGTCTCTTTTAACCGGTATTGGGTCTATTTTACCCCCTTCGGTCTCTTTCAACCGGTATTGGGTATCTTTCACTCCTACAACTAAACATACAACCATATCAAGAGTCATAAAGACATTAAGCACATACAGGCATAACATTAAGTGTCACAAAGACCACTGTCATCCTACAAACATAATTCAATTGGTCAACATTGGTGCCTTCGACCCACGAGTATAATGAAGAGACTCACCTCACAGTCTGAAAAAATAGCTACATTGATCACCGCTCCAAAAGTTATCTCTACCGGTTACCTATATAATTAACAGGGACCCAAATCTCAAACTACTATTCAAATTACCCAAAATGCCCTTAGGTCAAACTTGGTCAAAGTCAAATAGTCAAAAAGTTAAAGGAGGTCAACACAGACTGACTATGCCCAGCGTACTCAATCACTACACTCATCATAGTAGGTCCCTTTGTAGTTATGGAGCTCCATCCTAGTACGCTCAACGTACTACCAAGTACGCCAAACGTACCCGATGAATTCCATTTACCTTCATTAAGTGCTTATTTCATTAAGATCTTACGTTTAAAGCTCAAATCTAATCCCATATAACATTATAAGTTATAAAAGTTTATAACTTTATGACTTTCCATGGCTATAAGGAGTCCATACACCAAAATCCTAACTTAATACACAAACCAAAGCATCATGACTCTTGCATGGAGGGAAGAAAGAGACCAATATCATATTTTTATGACTCCTAATAGCTCCATAATAGATAAAGTTTCCAACTTTATCTATTAGGATGGTCCAAAACAACCAAGATGGCAAGATCTAGTATTTAAGTCTCAAATGGACCAAAAATGCATCTTTCTCCACTTAATCCGTTAAGTCCAAGTCTCCAGTCTTAAGATGAATCAATATGATGTTTAGATGGATAAAATTTTCAACTTTATCCATAACAAGGTCACAAACTTTCGAGATCCAAACTTTATGCACTAAAGCGACAAAAAAGTTCATAAACCCCAAAACTAGCTACATCTAACAAATACATCATCAAGATTCAACCTCTATACCTTATGGAGTTGAGAAAAGCAATGCAGACTCTGGATCCACAAGATTGAGCTTCAAAATTCAACAAGCTTGAACTTCTCTTTCATCCATAATGCACTCAAAACACATAGAAAGGCTTAAGATTTGATATATAGGGCTAGGGTTTCGAGTTAGAGGGTCAAGAAGGTGAAGGTTGATGTTAAAAAGGACCCCAAGGGGTTAGAGTCCTTAAATAGGGATGAAAACCACAAAAATAGGGCATTTGCATTACGGTGGTATGCTCAGTACCTAAAGTTTGGCCCAACGTAACGCCCTAAAAATGCATCCCTTCGGCCTAGTACACCCAGCATACCAGCTGGTGTATGCCTTGCGTACTGCCAAACTCTTTTTTCAAGCTTAACTTCAAACAGCCATAACTTCTTCATTTCAAATCCGTTTTCGATGATCTTTATATCCACGGAAAATTATCGACAAGCTTTACAATCCTATCTTGATACTTATGACCGAAAACATATCGAGCTAAATCCTTAATTTATGCAAGAGGCCCAAAACTTAACCTTTCCTATTTTACCCCTCAGCTTCCATCAAACAATCCAAGGTTTAAATCACTTGTCCAACATCATACACCTCCAATAGGGTCTAAACTCCATTCCATTAAAGACAAAGGTCTCCATTTTGATCCATTTACTGTCCACAATCTTAAAATAGGAACTTTTCAAAACAAGAGGTTACAACTCTCTCCCACTTAAACTAGATTTCGTCCTCGAAATCATTCCTTACTACTAGTCAACACACTTGGGCCACCGTCAAGGCTCGGATGGTGATGCCATTGTTATATTTGATTCATCCTACGTTTGGGTTGACCATTACTTCCTTACTCAAGCCACAGATGGACTCATAGATATTATCCATGCTTCAACTCTCATCACAATCTCAAATAACTTCTTTTCTCAGCACGATAAAGTAAACATCCAACAATTCCTCAACTTATATAGCATCTCACACATCCCTAAATGCAAAAATAACATTGTAGTTTCATTTATTTGTTTATTAAAACATCATACTTTCAGTTCTTCCTATTGCAACATCTTACTTTGAAAAATCTAGCAAATACAACAATATTATCTAGAATACAAATCACATTTGAATGCTATAATATCCCAATCATCACAATTTCAAATTTGTGTACCTTTTTATTGACCAGTAGTACAAAACCATGCAGATTATGTTACTTGGCCACAACGACAATAATATGGAAGACAAAATCATGAAAGTTACCATAGTTTATAACCATTTTGGAGAGGATCTAGTTCAAAGAATGTCGAGGTATGTGTAATCTATGCTCTAAAAACTTGTTCGGTAACTTTTACTAAAAAGTTTGTAACTTTACCTTACGTAAACGGATTAAAATTTTCAGGGTGAGGCTTGGATATGCACATGTTGCAAACAATAAGTATGATGAATGGCATATGTATGCACTTGGTGGAAGTGCAAATACTTAGATGTTTGTTTTGGAAGTGATTAAATGTCTTTTATCTTTTTCCAGGTTTACGGAAGAAGACATGCACTTGCAAAACGTCTACCTGCTAGAAGGGAAAAGTGCTCAAAAAGTATTTTTGTAGAAAAACAAACGAGATCTTAGTGAAGGGAACTACTATACAGCTTCCAGGATTGCATCAATTAGAGAGGTAAAATCTTTATAGAGATTGATTTGATTATCAAGCATTCTTCTTTCAAATTTGTGTTTCTAGACGCAGTATTTGAAATTCGAATCTTTTGTAGGTTACAAAAAGGAGAATAATAAGAATGGTTGGAAGAACTGGAAATGGAGATCTTCAAAAGATGTGTTTCTAGGTGGAGCATATTTCATTCCATCAGGATATGGAAGTTGTGCACCTGGTTATTCAAAAGCACAGTATTTCCCAGTAACTCATGGCTCTCAAGTGCCTGCGCTTCCTGCAAATGCAGGACCACTTCGTTGCACGAAGTACAAAGCATGTTAATTTTGTTGATTCGATCAAATTCCAATTTGGGTTTTTCTTGTTTGTGTTTCAATTCCGAAATCTAATTTGACAACTTTCTTTTGGGGGTTACAAGAGTTCATCAAGAAATATGAACCTAAGCCCCTCTGCTTTTGCTTCACAGATTAACAAACTTGAGTTATTTGAATTCAATGTGTTAAGGTAATATAAAGATTTCTGTGAACGATTCAACAGCAATTCGAATTCAAACATACACCAACCAGGCCCAGAAATAAAAAACCAAAAATAAAACAAAACTTCAGTGTAGCAGAGAGATAAACATCCAAGAACACAGTAAATCGGTATTTTAAGGTCAGGTCTGACGAGATTCGGATGCATCGAATCCATTTGATGATCAAACTGAATTAAAAGTTTTTAAACGAGATTCAAACAAATACAGATCAGATCTAGAAAATTCATGGACTGGAGAGAGTACCAAGCATTCAGAAATAGGGAAAACAACACTCCAAAAAACAGTCTTGTGAAGAATATTAGCATTTCATTAAGATCAATACCTCATTCACCAAGTAAACATTTAAATCCATCGATTCAATTACATATATCAACTGGAAAGGAGAAACAAACTTAGCCCCCAAATCCATAAAGAGTTCGGCCTTGTCTCTTGAGAGCGTATACAACATCCATGGCAGTCACCGTTTTCCGGCGAGCATGCTCCGTGTAAGTCACCGCATCACGAATCACATTCTCCAAAAAGATCTTGAGAACACCTCGAGTCTCTTCATAAATCAATCCGCTGATTCTCTTGACTCCGCCTCTTCTAGCCAACCTCCGAATCGCCGGCTTTGTGATTCCCTGAATGTTATCACGGAGTACTTTCCGGTGACGTTTTGCTCCGCCCTTTCCGAGTCCTTTTCCACCCTTTCCACGACCAGACATTTTCACAAGGAGAGAGGCTAAAAGAGAAGAGATTTGGTTTAGAATGTGATGCAGGCAGTGAATTGTCGGCGTGGTTTTAAAGGTGAAATCTTTTGGAGGGATTTTGAATTTGGGCGGAAGACTGTTGGCGGTTGAATTTGTGATCCGTGTGAAATGGTGTAGATCATTATAAGCGGTTGGATTATAACGTGGATTGATGAGATGGATTTTTATGTATGTATTTCTATAGGTGTTTTTCTAAACTAAATATGGTATGTATAAATGTTTTCTAATTTGATTTGTTTCACACTTTTTTTTTATTGGTAAGTAATCTTATACCTTTGATTATTAATAAATTCATATAATCAACCAAATAATTAGAAGTTATAACCCTTTCAGATACATATAAAGTCTTGTTGTTCAAATATGTATCCATTTTCTAACATTTTTATAGATAAAAATGAATGTCAGTGTCATAAAAATATCATTATTTTGGGCAAATTAACAAAAATGTCTCAAAGCTTTCTTCAAGACCGGTAGGAGTGCGGTCGCTAAAACCCTCACTAGCCTCGCTAGCATTCGGGCATCAAATAATACATAGAACTCACTCTTGGTGGTAACTCCACTTGCTCTGCTCATTCTCAAAGATACCACCGAACTCTACAACTCTATCCCTTACGGGTTCTAACTATTCTCTGGGTAGGCATCACAATACTCATCTAGCCATCTCTCCTATATTACTTTTCTACTCAACTCCCTCTCAACAAGAACTTTTGATGAACACTCACCCTCAGCACCTACTCGAAAAGTGCAACACAGATAACAACAACTCCTAGGCTAAGGCATCATAAATCTGGCAACTCTAGCCCTATAATATGAAATACCTAGCCTATCTCTAACATGCATAATATCTCATAAGCATAAAGTAAGGGTATTTTGGGAAATCACCAGTCGGGCTCTAGCTGATTGTACACACTGCTCTTTCCATTTTCCCTTTGAACTCTTATTCGCTTTAGAAAATCATTTCCTTGAAAACTTTTCTCAATTCCTCAGTTTGAGTCCAGATTTACCCGAAGGTGCATCCGAATCCCTCAAACCAAGGCTCTGATACTAACTTGTAAAACCGTAAATTTCAAAACAATTTTTCATTAAAAATAATCGTTTAATTCTTAAAACACTTTTCGTAGAAATCTCATTTCTGTTTAATTTACAAAACATAACTCCATATTCAATTTCATAATAAACCAGGATCCTCAAAACATAACTCTTCCTTTGGTGTGTACAATCGAGTTGGTACCGTCACGTGATCCTGAGAAAGCCTGAAACACATAACACGGTAAGCATGAAGCTTAGTGAGTTCCCCAAAATACCACACATAACACACACTAGCCACTTGAGGCTATAACTCTATGGGCCCTTGGGCCCTAACTCTGTGGACATTCTGGTCCTAACTCTGTGAACCTTCCGGTTCTAACTCTGATATACTCTGATATACACACGGCATAAATCACATAGAAATAATGCAATGCAACACATCACATAAATAGCATACAATAACTCTGTCACATAACTCTAATTACCACTCAAGGTAAAGTATAGTGAGAAGACTCACCTGGCAAGCAGAACGTAGTACCCTCACACCTGAATCTCGAACTCGCCACCGCCTAACACATAAGGCAGTATCTCCAATTAACTCTTGAAATCTCAACTCTAATTAACTCCACAATTACTCTTTCCCTCTCTATCGGGAAGTGGGTAAAAGACTATTATGCCCCTCCCTGGTCTCCATTACTTATGTTGACCAACACCCCGTAGTTAACAGAAGTCAACTCAAGTCAATAGTTAACTTTGACCAAACTCGGCGAGTACACAGGGGTGACTCAGCGAGTCCATGTGTGTCTTCTGACTCCTCCAAGGCCTCACTCAACTCGTCGAGTGAACCTTCCACTTGACGGGTTTCCACTGGATTCGAATCGCGGGGCAACCCGACTCGACTCGTCGGGTCCAATTATGGACTCGGCGAGTTACTTTCATGATCATACTCAAACGACCTTCTGAGGTCAGATCTGTTCCTCTAATCCATAGATTCGACCTTCCCAAGCTCAATAAACACGTAAAGGTTCAAACTTTACGTTCATGCAACCCACGTATAGCCATAAAATGGAGAAATAACCCTTAAAATGATAACTTTAGCTCCAAACTCATAAAGGACTGCATAAAGCTGGGGAATAGGGACTCTCTGGACCTCTCAAGGTCCGGATATGAAGATATAGACACAAGGGGGCATCACATACTCTAGATCTCTTGCCAGAAAAGAGAGAAGAAACCCTAGATTCATGAAATCTATCACCCAAACGAAGATGGACATGAATCCTTACCTCTCACAGCAGCTCTGAATGAAATGATGGAAGATGTGAGTCCCACAATACATCCTAGATCGAAATCCATCCTTCTATTTGCTAAGACACACCAAAAGATGATGAATTAGCCCTCCTCTTGCACCACATGCGTTCTCTCTGCTCTCTAGGGTTTCTCAGGGTGTAATGGCCGCAAATGAAGGCCATAAGGACCTTTAAATAGGTCCCAAACCCGATAAATTAGGGTTTCTCTGCCCAACACCTACTCGGCGAGTCCCTCCTCTAACTCGTCGAGTTCACTCATTAAATTTGCGTGAGAAGCTCGGCTCGACTCGACGAGTTGGATCCTCAACTTGTCGAGTCTCTCCTTTAATCACAATATTAACCTACACCATAATAACCCTAAAAACCCGGATGTTACAATTCTCCCCCACTTGAATTAGATTTTTCCCTCGAAATCATTCCTTAACCATACATGGATTGAAATCATTAACCCGAAAGGCACCACTGATAGGATCTCATAGTACACTGATATCTTTCTCCATGGACACATGAAACTACATAGAAATTCCCAATACCAGAATTTAAACCAACTCTTTCACCGCTAAAATACTCCTTCCCAACAACCGGAAACTCTAGTGGCCTGACCCGCCGCCAGACCGCCTACTCTAGCGATCACCATGATATTCGGTCCTCGAATATCAACCCTAATTACTCATTGGCTCCCTTATTCTCATAAGACCAACCCACAACCGACTATCGCTCACCCAAACCGGACATGCAAGTTATCCGAATCATGCCCCAAGAACGAAAGGGTTCACATCCCACCGAGGCACATACACTAAATTTCTATCAGAACCTGCCCGAACAAAGAATCCTCAACACTCTTCCCTCGGACACAAAAGAAATAACCACGTTCGCTCGGGAGTGTCCTCAGACATCACCATAATAAGCTCTAGCTCGTTTCTCATATCCCTCTTCAATACTGAGCATCATGTCAACTTTTGACTCCACAGTTTAACCTCAAGGTCACCCATAACATGATCCAAAATGTCTCACTAACTTCCTTCTCGTGTTAACTATCTCGGCCCAGTGACAGCCAAGTCACAAAATTCTCTTTACCTCATACGAAAACTACAATCCAACCGAAGATCGACTCGACCCCGACCTCTGATGTCTGTTGTGCATATCTCCTGTGTATCCTGCGGTATCTCCCATACCCGAGTACTAACCTATACAGGTTTTAGACATTCGACAACAACAATTCCCCTCATCCAAGAATTCAAGTCAGAATTATAATCTCATCTCGTTTACCCACACACCATCAATGCCAAACTCAACTCGAGAGTTTGGTCCGACCCTAAAGTTGGAACCTCGTGTCCCGATGAAACATTCCTCTCATGACTCAGCCTACGCCCCATGCGAAATACCACTTTTCCAATCCCCTCATGTTGCGATAATCACAACTCAAATCAAAATATAATGATTTCCGACAAGGATGGAGACCCCAGTCTTGCCCCTGGTTCAACCACCAGGCCCCAAAACTCATTACTAGAGCTACTCAAGCCCAAAACTCTTCTATATCATACCCTGATCGGATAGTACTTCATCATCACACTCTCTTGCCGTCTAGCGAGTACTATGGCTCCCTGCAGCATCCTGATGACCTCTCGATGACTGGTGAGTACTACGGCTCCTCGTAGCATCACAACAGTCTCTAACTAGTGTGTATTATGGCTCCCCGTAGCA